TCTGGGAGTTGAAGTCCACTCATCTTAAAGTGGCCAAGTTTGGACAACACTGGTCTATTGTGTGAAAGCCTTTGTCCCTGATGGGATGCAGCATATTGTGCAAACCCAGAAGGGCCTGGCTCTACCACTGGAAGGGCCTGACTCTACCACTGCGGTATAGCACTTTCCAATCCAGCCCCGCCCTTGCTGGGTTGAGCCACAACAGAGCCAATTTCCCATGTAGCTTTACTCGACGGTGTCTCAGCAGAAGCTCAGCAGTGCCAGAGTTGGTTAAAACCTGGATGGGAGACCACAAGGAAACTCCAGGGGTGGAGACTACATTGGCAAGAAAATTACATAATTATATCCATGATGTGACTAGGAGTCAAGCACCACTCAAAGGAGAGCCCAGCCAAGTGGCGACCCCTATCCAGATTTTGCAAACCTCAAAAAACTAAATGGGTCGAGCCCTCCTGGTGCCCTCCGGACGTGTGGGGAATCAGCCACAGGATTCCCAGAATTCCCTGCCCATGCCAAGGAATTCTGGGAGCGGAGCCCCCAGAGATCCTGGACGCTTGTGAAGCCGCCCTCCCGCTCTCCCCAGCCAGGGCGGCCCACCTCCTCCACCAGGAGGGTCTGCAGCTCCCGTCTGCAGTCGTCCAGCCGCTGGTGGTCGGCGCTGTCCACCACCCAGATGAGCCCGTCCGTGCTCTCGAAATAGTTGCGCCAGTAGGAGCGCAGGGACTTCTGCCCCCCCACGTCCCAGATGTTCAGCTTGAACCTGTGGGAGAGAGAAGCAGGGCGGCGATGGGGGGCAGGCCAAAGGCCAGGGGGAGGGAGGAGGACGGGCGGGGGGGCAGGTGCCTCACCCGCGATGCTCCAGGGTCTTGATGTTGAAGCCCAGCGTGGGCGAGATGGTGTCGATCTCGTCTCCGTTGAACTTCTTCAGGATGGTGGTTTTGCCGGCGTTGTCCAGGCCCCTGACGGTGGCCCGAGTCAAGGGCAATAAGCCACGGTGGAAAGAGCGGGGAGCGTAAAGAGGAACGCGCCAAGCTCCTGGCAAAGGAAAAGGAAAGAACAGGTGCGTGCGTGGGAGCGTCTGGCCACGCCTGCTAGTCTCCCAAGCGCTTCTGTGCCCCTGAACCCGGGGCGAGCCTGCCTGGGAGGCGCACAGTCTGCAGAGACAGCCCAAAGCACTCTGCCCACGCACAAGGCCGCTCTTGGCCAGCCACCGTTGGGAGGGGTCGCAGCCCGAGGCCGCTCCTCTCCCCCGGGACGCAAAGTCCGGCGTCCCTCCTCTCCTCTCCCAGCCCGCCCCCGCGCCCACTCCCCTTTTCCTCGCGGAAGGATACAGCATGAGCAGCCGCAGCTCCCGCTCCTTCTGCCGCATCTTCTTCAGGATGCTGAGCAGCCCCATCGCCCGCGCGGAAGGTCTGGCCGCGCTCCTCCCACTGCCGGGACGCCGCGGCCCCGCCTCCCAGGGCCCCGCCTCCGCCAATCAGGAATGCCGGGGGCGTTCCCGCCCGAAGAGGCATAAGGGAAAAGAACGCCTATGAAATTCGGGCTCGCAATCGCAACCCCTCGGGTTCCTGGCTCTGCGCCGCGACCAGGGAGATGGCAGCAAAGAGACGCCCCCAAAATCTGAAGCGTTCCTGCCATCTAGCGATCGCCCGGATTTTTGCAGCCCAGATCTGATGCATTATTTTAAAGACACTAAAAATAATTAAAAAAGAAGCATTATTTTAAACACCTGGTCTGATTGCGCGTTTGTGCGAATACTGCCTGGGTGTTTGAGACAAAGTTTTCGGTGTACTCAGAAATGAAAGTGTCCCACAAAATTAATTTCCTTGGCAGCTCAGTGGGTGCAAGGTTTAGGGATTTAGTACGGTTTTCCATCGACTGCGCATCTCTCACTCCAAAAGGTACCCGAAGTCGAGTCCGACCACAAGTCAGACCTCACCCCATTTCTCCCCGTGGCCACTCACCGTCGAGTCCCGCCCCCCTCCGGGAAGATAAGACGAATCGCCAAGCTGGAGGACGGCAGCGTAGATTTGCGAGCTGCAGAGGGATGCGTACTGTCGGATTCCGGCTTTAAACAGAACTTTCCTTTTTTAACGCTTTCCGGAGGGAAGCGACAGACCCAACAAAATGAGAGGGGAAAAAATCTCAGTCCTGTCTAAATTCGTTTTTTACGATGTTTATTTAATGCAAAATAAGGAATTAGTGGTCTTTGTTGATCAACTTGCTCGGAAAAGACACCCAAGGTAGCTTACACATAAAATCAAGGAATGATTCGTGCTGCTGGACAGGCATCTGCACATGCTCAGAGACTCCCTTCCTTGGCATTTGGGGATGGGCCGTTATCTGACTCTCAGGAATGCCCAAGGTCGTGCCAGCGTGAGACCCGGAGGGAATCTTCGACATGCGCAGGAGAGACCCAAGGCTGGCGGGGGCGGGTGAAATGGGAAGGGGGTAACACTAAGGTTTGGCGCGCGCGGGACTCGGTTCCAGCGATGCTCGGGGGCTGCGCGTTACTTTCCCGGTAAATGAGCTTTCCTTCGCGCCTGCCTCGGTTTCAGTGAGGGTTGCTTTCGGTGGGAACCGAGTGCGCGGTTCTTGCATAGAGCTGGAGCTGCCCTTCGGATTTTGCCGGGAACGAAAGTTCACCGAGGAAGAGCCCTTGGACGGGCGTCGGGAGGAGCCGCGTGAGCTCGAGGTGGCAGAGGAAGGTGTCCGGGTGGAGGCTGGAGTCGCTCGCGGCGTCGGGGTGGCTCCAAGTCCGAAGAAGAGGGAGCCGGGACGCCGGGGCGCCTCACTGGAGGGCCGCATGGCTAAGCTAGAGATCCAGCTTCCTTCCCTGGCGGAGGAACTGGAGTCGTTGAAGAGGGCGGCAAGGAACGTGCTGGGCATCCGGGGCCGGGGCCGTCGACCCGGGGATCCCCAGACGGCCTCTGGGGACCGCGAGGAGGCGAGAGCGGAGTCGGCGCCCGGGGAAGAGGAGGGGAGAGAGACCCGCTGCTGCAGTGGGCGCTGAAGGCGAGGTTCGGGGGCAGCCCGGGTCAGCTGGCGGGCTTTCTGGCGCAGGTGCGGATCTGCCTGGGGCGATGCGGCCGCCTATTCCGGAACGACGCGGAGAGGGTGGATTACGTGTGCTGCTCCCTCGACGACCGGGCGGCGGAGTGGGCGGCGGAGCTGCGCGAGGCCGAAGCGGCGGAACTCGCACATTGCGAGCGCTTCGAGGACCGCTTCGCCGTCGCGAGGGCGAAGGTGAGCATCACGCTCATCAGACAAGGGAGCCGGACGGTGTCGGATGACGCGCTGGACTGCAGGCGGCTGGCCGG